CTTTACCACATAGTTTACATTCATAGGGCTTCTCTCCAGTATGTGTTCTTTTATGCCGATGAAGACTACTGTACCATGAAAAGGCTTTACCACATTGTTGACATGAATAGGGCTTTTCTCCAGTATGTGTTCTTTTAGGGCTTTGCAGATGGCTGTGGCATGCAAAGGCTTTACCACATGTGGTAAAATCACAGGGTTTCTCCCCTGTGTGTGCTCTTCTATGCATTTGAAGGCCACTATCACATACAAAGTCTCCAGTAAGCATTCTTTTATGTATCTGAGGATGACTGTGACTTAAAAACACTTCATTACATTGCACAGGTTTATAGGTTTTCTCTCCAGTGTGAATTCTTTCTTCTCTTTGAAGATGCCTGTGACATACAAAATCATTATCACTTTGCATGTATTTAGAAATATTCTCTATAGTATAAATTCTTTCATGCCTGTATATGCGATTGGTACTTTTGGAGGTTTTAACCCATGTATTATATTAATGAATATTTTTATATGTATGAATTACTTTTACAGTGTTTTCTAAATGTAATGAGAAATCAGATATAACAGGATTTCATCATTTTTTTTATTTCCATGGTGTTCTCCTTCATTATGGGTTCCATTGGATCTTTAAAGATACCTGTTACTGTAAAAGCATTTATTTCATGGCTCACATTCATAGTAATCTTTCCTCATATGGTTTTCAAAAACATATTTAAGAAAATGTGAAAGAACTCAGAGCTTTGAAACAATGACTGCAGCTGGGCAGTGTTGGCGCATGCCTTTAATCCCAGCAATTGGGAGGCAGAGGCAGGTGGATTTCTGAGTTCGAGGCCAGCCTGGTATATAGAGTGAGTTCCATGACAGCCAGGGCTACACAGAGAAACCCTGTCTCCAAAACAAAACAAACAAACAAACAAACAAAAGCAAAAACACAAAGACAAAACAAACAAACAAAACCCCAATGACTGCATTCATAAATTCTCCTATAGAATAAACCATAGAACATTTACAAAGTGAACCAGGACAAACAGAAAATGTCTACATTACTAATACTCTCAAGAATTTTCTGCAGTATGACTTTGTTGATTTATTCCCAATGAAGTAGGAAAATCAATTAACTGTAAAATCATATCAAGTTCAACAAATCTACTCTAAGTGGATAACAACATATCCTCTAAATGTTGTAGGAGAGAGAGACATACAGGGTTTCTGTCAGTATCTTTAACAACTGGGACCTGCATACTCTAGATAGATACATAGATAGATAGATAGATAGATAGATAGATAGATAGATAGATCCATAGATAGATGGATGGACATACAGACATGCCTGTGCCTTACAATATACCTATTAAAGGTAGAATAACAAATTAAGTGTATCCATATTACATTCACACAGTTTGAATTTTAGTTCTCCAGAGACATATGTGCTATTTACATTAAGTTTTCTATGCAATTTTATCAACCTTTATGAAAGTCCACTATCATGAAACTTAACCCCCTTTCTACAAGTATATGAGTAACATCTGCTTTACTGTGCACTATTTGCTTGTGAAAAGGTTTTGGATATATACACATCATACATTCAAAGTGTATGCTTTATGTAATATCTCAGAGGCATTAAGATTAAACAGACCAGCAGATCTGCATTTTAGTGTCAATGAGGCTGTGCTTGAAATAGTGCTATGGGTTAAGGCACTGTTTCCATGTATTCTCTATTGAAGAATGCACTGCAAACAGAAATAGAATACCTGTCATAGAGGTACATGCATTTGTTAGAATTAAATACTCAATATCCTTAAAGCTCTGCTTATTTACACTGTTGTTTTTAACTAAAACATCAAGAACACATGAAGATTTCATCAGAGGCATAGTTGGATAAACCACGTAAATAAAAATTACCTTCCATGTCTTCTAGAATTTTGAGAATTCTTTTCATAACTGTAGTCTTCCCAATAATAGCCTGAAACATAGTACCAGAAAATCTATGATATATTATTGGAATTTAGGCAAAATTTAAGATACTATCTTCAGTGAACCTTACAACCATGTCTGATTCATTCACCTCACTCTCCCTCCTTCTCAATTGAAATTATTGAAGAGCATCAACAACAACAAAAGAAGCAAAAAGACAAACAAACAAACAAACAAACAAACCAGTTGTCTTCTGATTTTGAAAAGGAAAACAACATTAACAGTCTTACCTATAGCAGTGAGGTTGCTGTAGGTCTCCAGCATCACTTCTTTGTAGAAATTCTTCTGGGAAGGATCCAGCAAAGCCCATTCTTCCTGAGTGAAGTTTACATGCACATCCTCATATGTCACTGCATTCTAAAACATCCCGTACATGTGGATAAAAGAAAGCATGGTGCTCACATATTCAACATATATTTCATTGACCATGTATTCAAATTATTCCCCTTTTCCTCCAGGGACTTCCTGACACAGATGTTATAATGTAATCACAAAGCCACTTTAGAAGGAAAGTGAATTAAAAGGTTCACATCTCTCATTTCTTTATCTTTTGAATAGGACATGCATTTGCAAGAAAAAGACCAATTAACAGATACAAAGAGAGAAGCAAACAGATCAACAGTACTAAGCACATGTCATAGATATTATATGAATAATTACTAACTACAAAAAGTAAAGAACTATTTGTCAGATGGCTATTTTTTTGCTATGGGAATCCTATCTATACATGAGTATGGAAGATCTTTTCATCTTTTTAAATCTTCAGTTTCCTTCTTCAGGATTTGAAGTTTTTCTCGTACAGATCATTCACTTGCTTGGATAGAGTTACACCAAGATATATTATATAATTTGTGGTTATTGTAAAGTATGTTATTTCCCTATTACTTCTTAGCACAATTATCATTTGAAGAAGGGACAGCTACTGATTTCTTTGAGTTTTATTTTATTTTTTTTCCTCCAGCCACTTGGCTGAAGGTGTATATCAACTGCAGGAATTCTATGGTAGAATTTTAGGGGTCACTTATGTATAGTATCTTATCATCAATAAATAGCAATGCTTTGACTTCTTCTTTCCAATTTGTATCCCCTTGATCTCCTTTAGTTGTTTTATTGTTTTTGCTATAATTTAAATGTTTATATTGAATACATAGGGAGAGAGTAGGGAGCCTTGTCTTATACCTGATTTTAGTGGAGTTGTTTTAAGGTTTTCTCCATGTAGATTGATGTTGAAGGACCAGGCACACATGAGATGCAAATTCATACATACAGGCAAAATACACATATTTATTTATTTATTCCAACATAAATTCAAAACCAACACAACAGGTAGGAAGTCTGCCATGCACCTAAAATCCAATGACTCAGGAGGATTAGGCAGTATCACTGTCATCAGTACATGACTTCCAGGAAAACACAGTGACATTCTCTGTCAAATCTAAAAATGCAAGATATGGGTGAAGCTCAGCATAACAGCATATGATTGACATATACAAAAAAATTGTATACTGTCAGCCGATAATATAAAACAACATCACCCAATAATATAAAAACAAAAACGACAACCAAAACAAGCCAGGTATGATGGCCCACATGTAAACAATTGTATTACTTTGGAGAAGGACTCAGATGGATCTCTAATTTGGAGGCTTGTAGGTATCCATCCTACTTGCAGGACAGCCAAAACTATAGAGACAATCATAGTCTTCTAAAACAAACACACAAAGAACAAAACTAAAAATTGAAAACATTAAGCTAGCAAAATTTTAGCCATAATGTTATTATGCACTGTAGTAAGGTTATTATTGTATATTTAAACATTGATTTCTGTGCTTTCATTTCTGGTTGTAATCATTATTTAAGTATCTCCAGACTCAATGTTTTATAAATATTGCTCCCCATTAATTCTCTGATTTGTCAATAAAAGCTAATAAGCCACTGACTGAGTAGGTGAGAGAATAAGCAGAACTTCCTCTAAGCCATGGGATGGGGAAAGAAAATGGGAGTGGGGATTCAGTATAAGGACGGTCTATGAGACCTCCTGAGAAAACACTTCAAGCCTAGAGAGTCAGATCAGTACTAAAATGCATGCATCACTAGGATTTTGAGTAGGAAGAAGCCAGATTAGCTTAGAGAATGAAAATAAAGGAATACAGTTCATTTACTGCACACTCAAAGCTTGATAAATAAAAATAATACTCCAGTTTAAACTATTCATGAGATAGTTATATTGAGCAAAACTACAGAATTACTATGAAGCCAAAAATATTTGGCATAACAATCTGTGGCAAGAACTCCCTTAGAATATTAACTTTTCTCACTAAGTCTTTCAGGCTCCTTGAATAGGTCTTCAGAGGTTAAGCTGATCCAAGACCAGCTAGAGTGAAAAAAAGAAAAGAAAAGAAGAAAAGAAAAGAAAGAAAAAAGAAAGGAAACAGAAAAGAGAGAGGAAATGCAGGGGCAGTTCTTTTAAGAAATCCCTGCTGAGTCAAAAAGAAGTGGCCCTTCAACACAAGCCAGCTTCCCAGACTGGACAGTTTCCTAGCTAGGCATGAGGATAAATTCCTTTGAGAAGGGGCTCATGCTGGCCTGACTCACACTGGACAGACAGAAGAGCAAACATCTGTGATACCAACAACTTCCCAGAGAAGGGCAGGGTCAGGATCTATTGAAGCATCTATGGGTTATACTTCAAGGTAATGAGATGCAAAACAATATTCCATTGAAGTAGACTTATAAAAAATAAGCTGGTATAGCTATTTTAGTATCTGACAAAATAGACATCAAATGAAAATTAATTTAAAGAAATACAAGACACTACATGTTCATCAAGAAAAAAAAATCCAAAAGGAGGATGTTGCAATACTTATATGTATGTCCAAAACATAAGAGCACCACAGTTAGAAACATGCATTGACCCTCATGTACTGATAATGGGAGATTTCAATATCTCACTACCAACAAAGGACAGGCCCTCCACACTAAACGGAAACAGAGAAATGCTACAGCTGACTGATGTGAAAAAACAAAGAAACCTCACTGATATTTATAGAACATCCCACCCCAAAACAAAAGAATATACATTTTTTTCTCAGCACCTCATGAATGATTCTCCAAAACTGACCAAATAATTGAATACAAAACAAGTCTCAATAGACACAAGAAAAATCTAAATAACCACCCTGCATAATCAGCCCGTCATGATAAAAGTAAGGTGCACATCAATAATAGAAACAACCAAAGGCTAACAGACCCTTTGAAACTGCACAACTTTCTACTGTAAAAAAAAAATAAGTCACCGGGCGGTGGTGGCATATGCCTTTAATCCCAGCACTTGGGAGGCAGAGGCAGGCGGATTTCTGAGTTCGGGGCCAGCCTGGTCTACAGAGTGAGTTCCAGGACAGCCAGAGTTACACAGAGAAACCCTGTCTCATAAAACCAAAACCAAAACCAAAAAAAAAAAAAGTCAAGATAGAAATAAAAAAATTAAAGACTTTCTACAATTCAATCAAATGGAAGACACACCAAAAACAAACTTACGGAAAACAAGTCGTAATAAAGATAGTTCATGACACTAAGTGTCACATAAATAACTGGAGAGATCTCATGCTAGTACGACAACAGCACACCTGAAAGCTGTAGAAGAAAAAGTAGTAAGCACACAAAGGACAAGACAGCACGAAACTATGCAACTGGGGGGGTGGGGGGTGGAGAGAAAGAGAGGAAGAGAGAGAGAGAGAGAGAGAGAGAGAGAGAGAGAGAGAGA